CTGGATATGTTTTATAGCAAAAAGTAAAAAATATTGTTTTTTTTTTTTTCAAAATTGTTGGTCTTTTTTTGTTTTATAGTGCAAAAAAATATGAAACACGCAGGCAATCAAATACCACCAAAAGAAAGCTTTGTGGGAAAAAAGGACATAAATTTCATTTGGGTGTAGTGTTGCATAACTGCACAATTGTCAGTTAAAGTAATGCAGTGCCGTATTGCAAAAAAAAAAAAAGCCTGGTCAGGAAAGGGGGGGGGGGGGTAAATCTTTTGGAGGGCAAGTGGTTAAGGGAAGTTTGCTTACCTGTATATTCTGGAGGCAGAAAAATAACCTTTTCTACTGACTTACCAGAAACTTTTCAATATAGTTTGAAGCAACCCTGTCACATGTGCTAATAGCTTGAGGAAAGCATGTACTTATAAAGAACTTACCTCTCTAACTGTCTGTGCTACTGAACTCTGCCCAGTTTATGAGAAATGGTCCTTTAAGGTCCTCTGAGAAATCAACCTTTCTGACAGTGTCTGATAATACCAAAATTTTCAGGGAAAGACCTTGACAAAATAGAGGGTTAGGCAACTACATGGCAGATAAGGTTCAATACCGAGGAATATTGAGAAATGCAAAGTTATACACTTGGGTACCAAAAATACACATGCAAACTACACATTAGGAGGGGCTCCCCTGGGAGAATCAGGGATGGAAAAAAATCTAGGGGGGTGCTAGTGGATCATAGACTTAACAATAGCAAAAATATTGCCAAGCATTAAAAAGGGCATACATTCAAGAGATTATTTACTGTTAGAGCAGTAAAAATTTGGAACTCCCTCCTCCAGGAAGTGGTAATAGCTGCGAGTGTCAACAACTTCATAAAACTTTTAGATGTCTTCCTCAGGAACAGAATATACAGGAATATGGGAATTGTTAGAAACACTCACTCACGTTGAACTGGATAGACCTGTGTTGTTTTTGCAACCTTATAAGATATGTAAACTCAGTAACTTACCTTCAGTCTGATATTGTATGCAGGACAGTAGTTCACTAATTGCTCTTGTTGCCTGGAACTGCTCTCTAAATGTAAGGTGAGTGCAATCGTAATATATTGTAACTAATGGAAAAACGTGTTGGAGGGTCTTTAATGCATTTTCTTCTTAAAGGAAGTTAGAGAGCAAATTCATCACTGACTACTTAATTACTGTGAGTCATCTGTATAGATGGCACTTTCCATTTCAAAAAGTAAAATGTGTAAATACCCAAATATACCAGAAGCTAACATTAGCTTAGTGGTTAATGTGGGTTTCACATAAAGTGATTGCATTTGGTTTATCTATCTCTAATACTTACTTTTTCTTTTTTCTTTCTTTCTTTCTTTCTTTCTCAAGCTCACTCTGCAATGTAATATATATATATATATATATATATATATATATATATATACACTCACCGGCCACTTTATTAAGTACACCTGTTCAATTGCTTGGTAGCACAAATTGCTAATCAGCCAATCACATCGCAGCAACTCAATGTATTTAGGCATCTAGACATGGTGAAGACAACTTGCTGAAGTTAACCACTTCCATACCGGGCACTTTTACCCCCTTCCTGCCCAGGCCATTTTTCAGGTTTCAGCGCTCTCACACTTTGAATGACAATTGCGCTGTCATACAACATTGTACCCAAACTAAAATTTTATCATTTTCTTCACACAACTAGAGCTTTTGTTTGGTGGTATTTAATCACAGCCGGGGTTTTTATTTTTTGCTAAATTACCAAAAAAGACTGAAAATTTTGAAAAAAAACCCCATGTTTTTTCTTTGTTTCTGTTATAAAAGTTTGCAAATAAATAATTGTTCTTCATAAATTTAGGCCGAGATGTATTCTGCTACATGTCTTTGGTGAAAATAACCCAAATTAGGATGTATTTTTTAGTTTGTAGGAAAGTTATAGAGTTCACAAACTATGGGATATATCTGAATATTGATCAATCCTGAAGTACTGACAGCCAATCTAATTTCTTGAGGTCCAAGAATGTCAGAACAATACAGATATCCCCCAAATTACCCCTTTTTGCAGAGTAGACAGTCCGACGTACTTCATAGGAGGAATGGCGAGTTTTTTTGAAGTTGTATTTCTTTTGTCATAATTTTTCGGAAAATGAAAAAATTATTTTCACTATTTTTTTTACATTCTGTCACCAGTGCAGTACAGCGTCATCATATAACTGGCATGGCGGTGATCAGGGACACTGACTGGTGACAGTATGAAAAAAAAAATATTTTTTTTTTTAATTTTTTTTATTATTTTTAATTTTTTATTACATTTTTTTTTCTTTTTTTTAAGATTTTTTTTTTTCATATTTCACTATGTCCTAAGTAGTACAATGTTACCATAGTAACATTGTAATACTTTGGGGAAGTGATCAGTATTTTTTATTTTTTTACACAATTTGCTTATAGCAAAGAATTACTTTGCAATAAGCAAGCATTTACCTGAATGACATCGATTCATTCAGGTTTTTTTTTTTTCTGGTTTTTTTTTTTTTGTGCTTAGCTGTGATTTGGCTACAGCTAATCACATGACGTGTGCATGTGATCGCTGTGACCATTCACAGCTAGACACTAGTATACAATGAATGGCATGAATGAAGCCATCCATTGTATACAACTGATTGATCACAGCAGGTCACATGGTACCGACAATGGGGGCCAGTACTCAGATCTGTCATCGGCCGTATCCGAGGTACATGGCCGGTGACAGATCGCACCGCTGCGCGGCTCTGCAAGCGCGCAAACTGCGCATGCCCTGGAGTACGCCATATGCCTTCCACTCGGAAATCTAAAGCATTTTTCCAGCCACCAAACGACTATTGGCTGGGCGGCTAATGGTTAAAACCGAGCATCAGAATGGGGGAAGAAAGGGGATTTAAGTGACTTTCAACGTGGCATGTTGTAGGTGCCAGACAGGCTGGTCTGAGTATTTCAAATACTGCTGATCTACTGGTATTTTCACGCACAACCATCTCTAGGGTTTACAGAGAATGGTCCGAAAAAGGGAAAATATTCAGTGACTGGCAGTTGTGTAGATAAAAATGCCTGGTTGGTGTCTGAGGTCAGAGGAGAATGGGCAAATTGGTTTGAGATGATAGAAAGGCAGCAGTGAGGCAAATAACCACTCGTTACAACCAAGGTATGCAGAATACCATCTTTGAATGCACAACACATCGAACCTTGAAGCAGATGGGCTGCAGCAGCAGAAGACCCCACCGGGTGCCACTCCTGTCAGCTAAGAACAGGAAGCGGAGGCTACAATTTGCACAGGCTCACCAAAATTGGACAATAGAGGATTGGAAAAATGTTACCTGTTCTGATGAGTCTCAATTTCAACTGCGACATTCAGATAGTAGGGTCAGAATTTGGCGTAAACAACATGTAAGCATGGATCCATCCTGCCTTGTATCAACGGTTCAGGCTGGTGGTGGTGTAATGGTGTGGGGGATATTTTCTTGACATACTTTGGGCCCCTTAGTACCAACTGAGAATCGTTTAAACGCCACGCATTTGAGTATTGTTGCAAACCATGTCCATCCCTTTATGACTACAGTATACCCGTCTCCTGATGGCTACTTCCAGCAGGATAATGCACCATGTTACAAAATTCAAATCATCTCAGACTGGTTTCCTGATCATGACATTGGGCACAATTCACTAAAGCTGATCGCATGAGTTAAGTCAGTCATGTGACCACATATCGCATGCCATACTGAAAATGTCAATTCACTATTGTTAGTATGCGGTATTTATTGAAAATAGCAAAAATACTCGGTAAATACCGCATAAAAAGACCTTAAAGTCAATTTACAAAAGGAAATAAATAATTTAAATGCATGCAGTAATTAAGTAGTGGTCCAGGCATGCGGTATGTACTGGTATCTGTCAGTACTGTCATGGGTTGTTAAGTAAAGGGTGGCCGCCAAGTCCCTAACAACCTATGACTTATCAGCTGTCAGCGGGGTTCCCCACTGACAGCTGACTGTAAAAAAAAAAAAAAATGTTGTCAATTAAAAAATAATTTTAAAAAAGGGTGTGGGGTCCTTCCATTCATACCAAGTCCTTCGGGTCTGGTATGGGTTTTAAGGGAAACCCTACTCCAAATTTTTTAAAAAAGTGGCGTGGGGTACCCCCCAAAATCCATACCAGACCCTTATCCAAGCATGCAGCCTGGCAGGTCAGGAAAGGGGGATGGACAAGTGAGCAGCCCCCCTCCTGAACCATACCAGGCCCACATGCCCTCAACATGGGGGGGTGCTTTGGGGTAGTGGTGCCCCCCCAAAGCACCTTGTCCCTATGTTGATGGGAACAAGGGCTTCTTCCCCACAACCCTGGCTAGTGGTTGTGGGGGTCTGCAGGCGAGGGGCTTATCAGAATCTGGAAGCCCCCTTTAGCAAGGGGGCCCCAGATCCCGCCCTCTCATGTGAATGAGTATGCGGTACATATACCGCATACTCATTCACATGTATACCGCTACTCATTCACAAAAAAAAAAAAACCTGTAGTCTGAAATAAGACAGGAGACTGTGTGACCCTGCCCCTTGTGACATCATCAACCGAGGCATGCTGGGTCAATGATGTCACATGGGGGGGTCACATATATGATGTCACTGGGTGGCCCCGCCCCTCACATATTTAAGAACTGTCAAGCCAGCAGAGCAGTCAGACGACCAGGAGCCAGTGTCAAGAGCAGAGCCTTTTTTTTTTTCTTTTTTTCGGGTCGGTGGCATACTCATTCACATGGTGGGGAGCAGGATCTGGGGGCTCCCTTGCTAAAGGGGGCTTTCAGATTCCGATAAGACCCCCACCTGCAATATACACACACTGTATTGCCAAAAGTATTGGGACACCCCTCCAAATTATTGGATTCAGGTGTACCAATCACCTTCATGGCCACAAGTGTATAAAATCAAGCACCTAGTGATAGATAGGTAGATAGTGATAGGTTGCCACCTGTGCATTAAGTCCATCCATGAAATTTCCTTGCTACTAAATATTCCACGGTCAACTGTTAGTGGTATTATAACAAAGTGGAAGCAACTGGGAACAACAGCAACTCAGCCAAAAAGTGGTAGGCCACATAAAATGACAGAGTGGGGTCAGTGCATGCTGAAGTGCACAGTGCGCAGAAGTCACCAACTGTCTGCAGAGTCAATAGCTAAGACCTCTAAACTTCGTATTGCCTTCAGGTTAGCACAACAACAGTGCATAGAGAACTTCATGAAATGGGTTTCCATGGCTGAGCAGCTGCATCCATCTAAGCCTTACATCACCAAGTATAATGCAAAGCATCAGATGCAGTGGTGTAAAGCACGCCGCCACTGGACTCTAGAGCAGTAGAGACGTGTTCTCTGAAGTGACGAATCACTCTTCTCTGACTGGCAATTTGATGGACATGTTTGGGTTTGGCAGTTGCCAGGAGAACGGTACTTGCCTGACTGCATTGTGCCAAGTGTAAAGTTTGGTGGAAGATTGATTATGATGTGGGGTTGTTTTTCAGGGGTTGGGCTTGGCCCCTTCATTCCAGTGAAGGGAATTATTAAGGTGTCAGCACACCCAGACATTTTGGACAATTTCATGCTCCCAACTTTTGTGGGAACAGTTTGGGGATGGCCCCTTCCTGTTCCAACATGACTGTCCACCAGTGCACAAAGCAAGGTCCATAAAGACATGAATAAGTGAGTTTGGGGTGGGGGAGCTTGACTGGCTTGCACAGAGTCCTGACCTCAACCCGATAGAACACCTTTGGGATGAATTAGAGGGGAGACTGCGAGCCAGACCTTCTCATCCGATATCAGTGCCTGACCTCAAAAATGTGCTTCTGGACACACTTCTAAACCTTGTGGACAGCCTTCCCAGAAGAGTTGAAGCTGTTATAGCTGCAAAGGGTGGGCCAACTCAATATTGAACCCTACAGACTAAGACTGGGATGCCAATAAAGTTCATGTGTGTAAAGGCAGGCACCCCAATAATTTTGGCAATATAGTGTATATATATTCACAGGATCGCTGCACTTAAAATGTATTAAAATCCAAATAAAAATTACAAACGAAAATTGTACAATCAACAGAGAGAGAGAGAGTGCATACCACCCTAGTGCAATTAAACCTTCATTATATATTTTTTTTAGCAGAGGCCCTAGAGAATAAAATGGCAGTTATTTTTTATGTTTGCACAGCGGTTTTCTAAACGCAGTTTTTTTTTAATTACACTTTGATGACTTAAAACAACACTATGTATAACCCTAGTAAATAACAGAAGCTAGGTTAGCGCTAGGTAATAATGGGAAGCAGCTAGCACAGAAGACAGGTAACAATCCCCAAAATTGAATATGTAAACAAGTGCAGCGCTATAATACTAAGATAAAACAATAAAGTGCATCACATAAAAAATGTATCAATATATGTTAAAGCGGAACAGTAAAGTGCATAATTTAAAAGTGCAAAAAATATGCTAAATCATATGATATAACACAACTCATAAATGCGTTAAAAACTGAATAGGTAATATGGAACAGCAAAGTGCATCATATGAAAGTGCGAATGTAAAAAGTGCAGCGCTAAAAGCACACAATCAATAAATTTAGTGGAACAGTCAAGTGCAACATAAATGTGTATATAATTTCAGCAATAAACAAATATAATAATTGTGACAAACCGTGCACTAAAGTGCTAAAGATCAATAGCAATGTTCATGGTTGTACATATTAAATAACAATTCATTCGCATGGTGTCCTAATGTTGGTAAAGTGCAATGCTTTCAACGTGCAGGATGTGAGAGTGCGAGCAATCACAAAAAGGAATCCACCTCTTTGGACGGATTTACACTCACCAGAAGATATATGGTTACAGGCATATATGATATGTCACATCTGGAGGTGAAGCGGCAGTCAGAGGGTTAATCAAACTGCTCCGTCCAGCCTTAGGTGGAAGAAGGGACCTTTGTCCTATGGGAAATAGCTCAGTCCCAAGAGCCAGAGATATGTATATAGTGTAGTATTTTATTTAAATTGATAATAATCTTCCAACAAGGCATAAAAATCCGCGTGGAGTAAAATATAAGTAAATGTCAAATACCAAGATGGCCGCTGCTCCGTCCTTCGGCAGCGACAGCGTGACGTCAGCCATGTAGGCTCCACCCAATGCGTTTCATGCACACGCACATCTTCAGGGGTGCCCCAATCTATGTATAACCCAATTTTTTTGTAAAATATAAAAGTTGATGTTACGATGAGTAAATAGATAGCTAACATGTCAAGCTATAAAATTTCACATGCATGTGCCAAACTACAGTACTTAAAATTCTCCATAGTTGAGACTTTAAAAAAATGTTTACAAGTTACCAGTTTGGAGTTACAGAGGAGGTCTAGGACTAGAAATATGGCTGTAACATTCCTTCACATGATGGATACCTCACATGTGTGGTGCGAACACCATTTACATATGTGGACATGACCTATGTATGCTTTCACTACTGCGAGCAAGCATGGCTGGATGGGGATGTTTTAAAAATGTTATTACATTTTAAAAAAAGTTTTACACTGTCCCTTTAAAAAAAAATTTTGATCACTTTTATTGCTGTTACAAGAAATATAAACATCTCTTATGAAAACAATAAAGCATGACAGGTCCCCTTTATGGAGAGATCTGGGGTCAATAAGACCTTACATCTCTCCTCTACAATGGACAGCATCAGATTAAAACAAAAATATTGGTCTAATGCTTTCCCCCTTGTTTACATCGGCCATGAACCAGAAGTGACGTCATGATGTCGCTTCCGGCCTCCTAGGCCATAGAGATGAGCAAAGGCCATCTTTCCTATGGCCAGCAACCATCGGATTGGTTCCCAGGCTTCGCTATGAGCCAGGAAAACTCAAGAACCATTGGGAAGCTACCCCTCCCGCTGCTTCTAAAAGTGATCCAGTAGCTAATCAGCCTCTTGGATCACTTTTGACAGAAAGAATGACTTGTAACTTGTGATGATCTGGGTATGGAACCCTCTCACCTGATCTGTAGCCTTGGTAGTGCCGCAGGTAGTCTCTCAGTAGGGGAAACCCCCATGCTCTCTTGGTCCCTCTGTTATGGAGTGATGTCGATGGCAGCACCACGATCCGCCTGCCCGCAGGACTGTCTGTCCTGCTTGTCATTAATACCAATGGTCTATAATTCCTGCTCACTTCTCCGCTCTACTTCCTGATTTTCCAGCGTCCCACACAGCCTTCTCCACACACCCGTTCTCTGTCCCTCACCATCCACTTCCTTCCTGTATGATTCCTGGGCTTCTGAATATTTATCCTCCTGCCACTTTGCCAGGTCTTCTGGAAAATGTAGTCTGAGACCAAAAATCCTGCTACTAGCATACAAGTTCAACAAGGCTTTACTTCAACAGAGTCTGCATAGCTGAACCACAGAGCACTGCCATCTTGTGTTCACTTAACATCCTGCAACCAATATTAATGCAGGGTGTTACACACTGCTGATTTTGCAGCTGCAAGTCTACAATTGTCCACCCACAGCGACATGCAAGCCCACAGGACCTCTCAGGGGGGTCATTCAAATCTGAGTCCTTTCAATTATGGATATTGGCTGTCCTTTAACATTTGAAATGTGTCTAACCGGTTGATTATTGTTGATTGAATTAATAAATCGTCTGTAATGCCACCAAAATGAGAAAATGTCCGAGATTTCGTACCCCCTTTTTTATCCAATGCAGGGGTGCTTTACCACAGGTGGCTCACGGAGCCCTCTGATGTGGTCCACAACCTGATGCTCTGGGATGGCGGGTTGGCAAGCCCAGATCGCAGATTGCTAACTCACCATCCCAGAGCATCAGAGTGCATGGAGCTGGTGCCGACAGCAGAGGAAGCAAGCGACCATGAAAGGAGCAGGACCTGCATAAGCTGATGCTTCCTCTGTATTGCTGGCTCCTGTCCAAGGCAGAGTGATACCAAGTGCACTTTGCCTGGGACCTTTCTAGTAGCTTAGCGTTGCCAGGAATAGCTGGAAGAGAAAAATGGCAGTTTATTAAGCATTACATAGTTTTGCAATAGGCATATTAGCATTTTTAAAAAAGATTTTTTAGGCTGCTTTCACACTGATCCATAGGTGCAGCGCAGTGTACCTGCGACTTTCCTGCGGGTTAGCTGCACTGAGCCATAGCCTTCTATTATATCTTGCAGGTTTGGTGTGCTTTCTAAAAGCACACTAAAACTCCTGAATGCAGAAGTTTTGGTATGCTTTTAGAAACTGCACCACACCTTAAAGTCTATGGCAAAATGCAGCTAACCCAAAGGAAAGCCGCAGGTGCACTGCGCTGCACCCGAAGTGCGCATCAGTGTGAAAGCAGCTGTAAAGGGGGCTCAGGACAGTGAGGGCACATTTACATTTGCAGTTTGGCAGCGGGAAAAACCCCATAGTTGAGAGGTGTTTTTACCACCCTCCAACCATTGGTGTAGAGCAAGGGGTTACAATGGTGACCCGCCCCATGCTCCTGGGAGCCCATGCGGCCTCCCTGTCACATTTGGTTTTACACTTGTACTGGAGGGTACAAGTGTAAAACCAAAGGGAGGCTATATATACAGGAACCGATCCGCTCCATTTTCTTCCCGCAACCCCTGAAAGCCGGCTTATCCTTTGATCCCTCCCACTGGCATTCAGCTGCTGCAGGAGGAAAATCTTATTATGCCACTATTATTGTGCTAGTCAAGATAAAAAACTTAAAAATTTTGAACCATTGCATTTCATTGGTCCCACAACCGGTTACCAAATCACTTAAGTGGTCTCACTCTTCAAAAGGTTGAGCACACCTGATCTAATGTTACAGGCCCCTTGACTACATGGGCTACATGGGACTACTAGTTTATGCAAAAGGTGAACTTAGCCTTTAATATACAAAAAAGATCACATAAAACAGAATAAAGGGGAAAAAAAAACATAAAATAAGAGAAGTAGAATATACCTTGCCCTTCTATAGAGCACACATGCATGTAGAGAAAATATACAGAGAGAACGAAAACGTGCAGGTGTTTATGAGGTTTTATGACAAGTGGTCTTTATTTCAAGACAGGCAGGAAACCAGTATAGGGGTTTTTTCAGGAAACAGTAGATTATAGGAAAGTGCAAGAATTAATTTATGATTACAATCTGTAACTCTCTGCTACAACCAAAAAAACAAACAAACAAAACATTATTTAAGGTATGGAAAGGATATTTACTAAAAAAAAAAAAAAAAAAAAAGAGTCCAGATTTGTATGCTACAATAAATACAGTACATAGAAGTTATTCCTAATTATTAGAACCTTTCTTAGCCAATTATTGTTGAAACTATTTTTAA